ACTACTGCTGGAAAACACTGAGGAAATTCTGGGAGACACTGGGGCAGGCAAAGACTTCTTAAATAAGACCCCCAAGCACAGTCAATAATCCCCAAAATAGACAAGTGGGATTACATCAGATTAAGAAGTTTCTGCATGGCAAAGACAGTAATTAGTATGAATCGATGACCCTCAGAATAGGAAAATATTTTTATAAACCATGCTTCAGATAAGGGACTGATAACCAGAATACACAGGGAACTCAAGGGGCTTTCCCGAAAAAAATGATTAACCCATTAAAAGATGGGAGAATGAGTTGAAAAAAACACTCTCTAGAGAAGACATAGAAATAGCCAAAAGGCATGTGAAAAAATGCTCAACATCCCTCATTATAAGGAAGATGTAGATCAAAGCTATAATGAGATATCACCTAACCCCAGTCAGAATGACTAAGATTTTAAAAATAAATAAATAAATAAAATGCTAAGTGCTGGCTAGGGTGTGGTGAAAGGGGAACTCTCCTACACTGCTGGTGAGAATGTAAATTTGTCCAGCCACTGTGGAGAACAATATGGAAATTTCTCAAAGATCTACAAATAGAACTACCACATGATCCAGCAATTCCATTCCTTGATATCTACCCAAAGGACAGAAGAATACTTGCTTAGTTAGAAAAGTGCTTGCACATCAATGTTTATTACGGTATTATTCACAACTGCTAAGACATGGAACCAACCCTAATGTCCACGGACAGAGGAATGGACTGAAAAAATGTGGCACATATAATCTATGTGATACTACTCAGCCATAAAATACAAGACCCTGGCTTCTTTTTTTTTTTTTTTAAGAGAGGTTTTTGCTACAATACGTGTGCTCTCACCAGAAAGACAGAGACAGGCAGAGAGATAAAAAGCAAGAAATCACCCCACAGAGGGGATGGCCACACCACAATCCCTTCTCCTCTATTCTCCTCTCAGGATTTTGGGCACGTGCCTGGCATGAGTTTAAGCCACCAGGTCCAGGACTCAAACCGCGGTCGACTACATGGGAGTTCAGCAACATAGCCAATACGCTAACTGCTGGTCCAAGGTAAATAAGCCTTTCTTACTTCCGACATTAGCTTAAAAGAGACTCTGGTCCTAAAAGAGTAATACTATGTAAAATTAACTTATACTCTATTCCCCAGAGCTGTGAGTCCACTGAGAAGTTAGTCTGAAGAGACAGGAAGGCAAATAGAAGCAGGGAGTATGCTAGTTTCTTTGCCCAATAATACATATAATCAGCACTTATTACAGATAAAGCAAAAGTGAAACTGGATAAATTTTTCTGAAACCTATTATAGAGAAAATCCAACAAGTTTTAAGTTTAAAATAAAAAATCATCAACATTTTTAGAGCTTAAAAGGGAGACAGACCAGGACCAACAGAGGGTGCAGCAGTTACATTGCTAGACTCCCCACACAGCAGACAGTGATTTGAGTCCCAGATTCAGTGGCTTGAAACTCAGAACAGACAGAGACAGAGAAAGCAAATCACTCCCCAGTGGGGATGGCCACACAGCAATCCCTTCAACTCCATTCTCCTCCTGGGACTTTTTTTAAAGAGATTTTTGCTATAGGGCATGTGCCCTTGCCAGAGAGATAGAGAGACAGAAAGCAAATCACTCCCCAGGGGGGTGGGTGGCCACACCACAATCCCTTCAATCCCATTTTCTTCCTGGGATTTTTTTTTTCTTTTTAGAGATTTTTGCTATAGGGCATGTGCCCTTGCCAGAGAGATAGAGAGACAGAAAGCAAATCACTCCCCAGGGGGGTGGGTGGCCACACCACAATCCCTTCAATCCCATTTTCTTCCTGGGATTTTTTTTTTCTTTTTAGAGATTTTTGCTATAGGGCATGTGCCCTTGCCAGAGAGATAGAGAGACAGAAAGCAAATCACTCCCCAGGGGGGTGGGTGGCCACACCACAATCCCTTCAATCCCATTTTCTTCCTGGGATTTTTTTTTTCTTTTTAGAGATTTTTGCTATAGGGCATGTGCCCTTGCCAGAGAGATAGAGAGACAGAAAGCAAATCACTCCCCAGGGGGGTGGGTGGCCACACCACAATCCCTTCAATCCCATTTTCTTCCTGGGATTTTTTTTTTCTTTTTAGAGATTTTTGCTATAGGGCATGTGCCCTTGCCAGAGAGATAGAGAGACAGAAAGCAAATCACTCCCCAGGGGGGTGGGTGGCCACACCACAATCCCTTCAATCCCATTTTCTTCCTGGGATTTTTTTTTTCTTTTTAGAGATTTTTGCTATAGGGCATGTGCCCTTGCCAGAGAGATAGAGAGACAGAAAGCAAATCACTCCCCAGGGGGGTGGGTGGCCACACCACAATCCCTTCAATCCCATTTTCTTCCTGGGATTTTTTTTTTCTTTTTAGAGATTTTTGCTATAGGGCATGTGCCCTTGCCAGAGAGATAGAGAGACAGAAAGCAAATCACTCCCCAGGGGGGTGGGTGGCCACACCACAATCCCTTCAATCCCATTTTCTTCCTGGGATTTTTTTTTTCTTTTTAGAGATTTTTGCTATAGGGCATGTGCCCTTGCCAGAGAGATAGAGAGACAGAAAGCAAATCACTCCCCAGGGGGGTGGGTGGCCACACCACAATCCCTTCAATCCCATTTTCTTCCTGGGATTTTTTTTTTCTTTTTAGAGATTTTTGCTATAGGGCATGTGCCCTTGCCAGAGAGATAGAGAGACAGAAAGCAAATCACTCCCCAGGGGGGTGGGTGGCCACACCACAATCCCTTCAATCCCATTTTCTTCCTGGGATTTTTTTTTTCTTTTTAGAGATTTTTGCTATAGGGCATGTGCCCTTGCCAGAGAGATAGAGAGACAGAAAGCAAATCACTCCCCAGGGGGGTGGGTGGCCACACCACAATCCCTTCAATCCCATTTTCTTCCTGGGATTTTTTTTTTCTTTTTAGAGATTTTTGCTATAGGGCATGTGCCCTTGCCAGAGAGATAGAGAGACAGAAAGCAAATCACTCCCCAGGGGGGTGGGTGGCCACACCACAATCCCTTCAATCCCATTTTCTTCCTGGGATTTTTTTTTTCTTTTTAGAGATTTTTGCTATAGGGCATGTGCCCTTGCCAGAGAGATAGAGAGACAGAAAGCAAATCACTCCCCAGGGGGGTGGGTGGCCACACCACAATCCCTTCAATCCCATTTTCTTCCTGGGATTTTTTTTTTCTTTTTAGAGATTTTTGCTATAGGGCATGTGCCCTTGCCAGAGAGATAGAGAGACAGAAAGCAAATCACTCCCCAGGGGGGTGGGTGGCCACACCACAATCCCTTCAATCCCATTTTCTTCCTGGGATTTTTTTTTTCTTTTTAGAGATTTTTGCTATAGGGCATGTGCCCTTGCCAGAGAGATAGAGAGACAGAAAGCAAATCACTCCCCAGGGGGGTGGGTGGCCACACCACAATCCCTTCAATCCCATTTTCTTCCTGGGATTTTTTTTTTCTTTTTAGAGATTTTTGCTATAGGGCATGTGCCCTTGCCAGAGAGATAGAGAGACAGAAAGCAAATCACTCCCCAGGGGGGTGGGTGGCCACACCACAATCCCTTCAATCCCATTTTCTTCCTGGGATTTTTTTTTTCTTTTTAGAGATTTTTGCTATAGGGCATGTGCCCTTGCCAGAGAGATAGAGAGACAGAAAGCAAATCACTCCCCAGGGGGGTGGGTGGCCACACCACAATCCCTTCAATCCCATTTTCTTCCTGGGATTTTTTTTTTCTTTTTAGAGATTTTTGCTATAGGGCATGTGCCCTTGCCAGAGAGATAGAGAGACAGAAAGCAAATCACTCCCCAGGGGGGTGGGTGGCCACACCACAATCCCTTCAATCCCATTTTCTTCCTGGGATTTTTTTTTTCTTTTTAGAGATTTTTGCTATAGGGCATGTGCCCTTGCCAGAGAGATAGAGAGACAGAAAGCAAATCACTCCCCAGGGGGGTGGGTGGCCACACCACAATCCCTTCAATCCCATTTTCTTCCTGGGATTTTTTTTTTCTTTTTAGAGATTTTTGCTATAGGGCATGTGCCCTTGCCAGAGAGATAGAGAGACAGAAAGCAAATCACTCCCCAGGGGGGTGGGTGGCCACACCACAATCCCTTCAATCCCATTTTCTTCCTGGGATTTTTTTTTTCTTTTTAGAGATTTTTGCTATAGGGCATGTGCCCTTGCCAGAGAGATAGAGAGACAGAAAGCAAATCACTCCCCAGGGGGGTGGGTGGCCACACCACAATCCCTTCAATCCCATTTTCTTCCTGGGATTTTTTTTTTCTTTTTAGAGATTTTTGCTATAGGGTGTGAATGTAGTTACAGAAAATGAACGGATTAGAAATAATGTTTGCTACTATCACACCATTTAATTCAAACAAGTCTTTTCCTCATTGCTTAGGATAAAATTTCATTTGAATTGTCAATAATAGTATCATTATTTGCTAGTACAAAGTAAGAAACTGAACGGTGTTTTCTTAGCCAGCATCAATTTAGAGAGAAAGAGACGATATATAAAGTTCCTATTCCCAAAGTGTGAGAGTGCTTCCCAGCTCTCCACATCCCTGTTGGGTTTCTGAGATCAATCACCTAAAAGCAGAATTAATTTCCATGAAAACTAGTTAATACTAAAGCATAGACTATACTTAGAAATTAAAACATGTCTTCCAGCTAATATAATAAGAAATCATCTTTACTTACATAACACTGGATCACTTCATTGCATATAACACAAAAGAAGGTATTAATTCCACATTAATATAATAGAAAATCAACAGTTGATGATATATAAAAGTTATACTCACTATACATTCAAATATTAAGGGTATCCAAAAGGATGACATTAGAACAGTGGATAATAAAAACAATTTAACATGATAATAACCAGGTTGCCAGTCACTAGTCAAATTTCAAGTAGACTGACACTGTTCCTTCAACAGCGCCATTGTAATTCATTTCAAACTCACTAACCTACGGTGTCCACTCCTTTCCTGCCAGCACGACCAACCATCTGCTTGTAAGTAAGAACATCTAGAGGTCGACCACTGAAAATAGGCGTCCGGATAATCACACGACGTGCAGGTAAATTCACTCCAGAAGAAAGAGTAGAAGTTGCTGCCAAGACCCGAATGAGACCTTGACGGAAAGCTCCTTCAATGATATCCCTCTCCTCAAAAGTAAGACCTAAAAAATAACCCAATAAGTATATTTATTGATATTTAATTAAAATATAAGGGTACTTCAAGAAGTTTGTGAAAATTTAATTAAAATATGGGTTTATTTTGGTGTGAAAAAAATGTGGAATCCAAACAGTTTTTTCATAATACACTTTTTCCATGAACTTTCTAAAGACCCCCCCCAATACTATATAAATAAGTAAACTTAAACATATTTATTTGTTCTCTGAGCCCACCGAGTTGGTACCATGAGCAGAGTTCACCTTCCTGAGTTGAAAAAATTGGGGACCAGCAGTTAGCGTAATGGCTATGTCGCTGGATTCCCACGTAGTCGACCATGGTTCGCGTCACAGTGGCTTAAAACTCACGCCGGGCGCATGTGCGTGCGTGTCCAAGATCCCGAGAGGAGAATGGAGGAGAAGGGATTGCAGCGTGGCCATCCGCCCTGGGGGGTGATTTCTCACTTTCTATCTCTCTGTCTCTCTCTGTCTGTCTGGCGAGTGCACGTGCCCTATAGCAAAAACTTCTCAAAAAAAAAAAAAAAATTTATGGACAAGAAGTTATCATTGAAATTAAATGGTGGTAGCATGTCCAAGGAATATTGTGGGAACTTGATCCATTTATGAATCTTGTGATAGATGAGTGTGTGGAGATGGCAACTAGTGGGCAACAGAACAATATTGGAATGGTGGTAATACGAGGAAATAGTATCATCATGTTAGAAGCCTTGGAACGAGTATAAATAACCGCTGTTCAACAGAAAAGCCCATGTCCCCTCGTCAACGGGCCTCTTTTACTATGATATAAAAATCAGGTCATGTACATTTTCACAATAAACTTTTTGTTAAGTTAAAAAAAAATTATTTTATTCTTATTTAATCTTAATCACAATTTCTTAAAATAAAATCTAAGAGTAGTAAGTGTGATTAGTAAGAAATAAATGCACTCAAATACAAAAATCAAGAAATTATGAGGATTTGTAGAGGGCCTCTTTATAACAGATTGTAAATATGGATTACCCGCATGATGAAATGCTACTCCCCATGGTACAGTTTTTTGTAATACAGAGTCCAGTCCTGAAGGCAAATGTTTTAGTTGATCCATCACCTCTTGGAGGCCCTTTGGTTCCAGAGTCACTGGTGGAAATTCAGGTGGTTTTACCAATCCTGTCACAAAAAAAAAAAAAAAAAATCTATTACTGCTCCCATCTGGCTGTTTCTTTTCTTTTCTTTTTCTTTTTTTTTAAAGGTGTTTGCAATAGGGCATGTGCACTCACCACAGAGAAACAGAGAGAGTGAGAAGGAAGAAGGACAGTGAGAAATCACCATCCAGGGGGGACGGCCATACTGCAATCCCTTCTCCCCCTGGATTTTGCAATCCCTTCTCTTCTTGGGATTTTAGGTACACACACACCTGGTGTGATTTTCAAGCTGCCAGGTCTGGGACTAGGACCACGGTCAGCCATGTGGGAATCTAGTGTAGTAACCACCATACCACATGCTGGCCCCAAGCTGTTCCTCTTTAATTATTATCGGCATAAATCATGATAGAGTTAAATATTACTGTAATGGTTCAGAAACTGTTGCATACTATGGTCTCCTGGAGATCTTCTAAAATTAATTATGCCAGACTCTTCCCCCTGGACCTTGTGATGTAACTGGTATGGGATGTAATCTAGATGTGAAGAATTTTCACATCTTCTCAGGTGATTCTAATGTGCATCAAAATTTAGGAAATTAAGCCATATTCATCCTAGAATCATTATAAATATATATTAACAGTTATAGCCATATAGATCATTATTCAGTAATAAAAAAGAATGAATTGATAAATATAACAACCTAGATGAACTTCAAAAACATCATGCTGAGTGAAAGAAGCTGGAGTCAAAGGACACATACATACCTTATGACTTGTTTAATATGAAATCCTTAGAAAAGGCACAGTAATCTAAGTGGTAGAAAGCAGAGCAGTAGTCTGGGCCTGGGTATACAAAGGGGAGACTGATGGCAAAAGAGCAGATGAGAACATGAAAATGGTCTATATGTTGATTATACTGGTGATTAAACAGTTGTATACTTTGGTTAAAATTTATCAAATCACACAGTTAAAATTGATAAATTTTTAATATGTAAGTTATACCTCAATGAAGCTAATTTTAAAATATTGATATATATGTAGAGGCCAGCAAATGTAGTGGTTAAGGTGCTGGACTCCCACATGGCCAACAGCAGCCTGAGTCCTGAACCTGGTGACTTGAAAATCATGCCAGGCACGTGCATACGTGTGCCCAAAACCCTAAGGGGAGCAGGGGAGAAGGGACTGTGGCATGGCCACACACCCTGGGTGTGATTTCTCATTTCTCTCTCTCTGTGTCTCTCTGTCTCTCTCTAGTGAACACACATGCCCTATGGCAAAAAAGAAAAAAAAGAAAAAAAGAAACCTAAAAAAATGTGTATACATACATACACATGTAACATATGATTCTTTTAAAGCCACACATTCCTTTGTAAATGTAAAGAAAGATGTAGTTAATTCCCCCAGGGAAGAAAAATGTGTATTTGTAGTTTTATATATATAGCTTAGAGGTGCCAAATATCAAACTCTCAAAGCCCGTGGATCCCAGATGAAGAACTTCAGTATACACCTGAATAAACTCTGTATTCTAGGGTAAGCTGCATGGTCTTATGGTGAAAGGAGCCAGATCTCCTAGGGCCAACCACCCAGTACTCGTCCCAAACCCAGAGGCTGGAAAAAAACACTGGGCACTTGTGTGTGCCCCAAATCCTGACCAGACAGAGAAATGGAGAAAGGACTGCAATGTGAACATGCCTCAGTGGAGGGTGGATTCTCCCCCCCCCCCTTCAAGAGCACACATGCCCTCTGAGTGGAAGGGGGGAAAAAATAAGAAAAACCTAGTATTCTAAACTCTGAAGATGATTAGCCTCAGTGTGAGTATAGCATTGTCTATAATGAGGACAGAGAGGATTAGAATCATGTAGTGAAATTTTTAAAAAGAGAACCTAGAGGGTAGGCTGTGGCAATGATAAAACAGCGTCCTATTTTGCTAATATAATCACTAAGTTATTCTTTTTAAATGTACTAAGTATAGAGGCTTTTACTTCCACCAGTAACTCACCCTCAGCTTGGTGGTGTAGATTATAAAACTCTCGGGCAATGGTATCTGCCAGCTTCTCACACCACTTCTTTGATGGGCAAAACAGTAATACTGAATGGTTATCACAAATAGTCTCATAACATAAACTAACAATATGGTCCTCATCTCCCTAAAAAAAGAAAGAAAGAGTCACTCTAGTGGTACTTTCAAAACATTTTCATGTCATTTTAAGATCATTAATTTTGCTCCACAGAGATGGTTTTTCTATTCAAAAGCATAACAAAAATCAGTTACAAAGTCAGTAACAAAATAACCAAAGAAAGAACCAGAAAAAAATAATAAACCTCCTTTTGATGTAAGGCAAAAAGAATATATTCATTCAACCGATATTCAATGAGCTTGACTCCTCAGGCAATGTGGACCCAATGGTGAGCAAGAAGAGTCAAGGTCCTGATATTTAAGGGGTTAATAGATGCTAAGGTTCTCAACAAATGTGAAATACAAGCCAAAGAGGTACTATAAAAGACAGTTTCACAGTGTTTTGAAACCTTATATTTGACAGAAAGATCTGAAAGACAGGTTGCCCTAAGAAAATGATTTATCTGAGATGGGAAGGAGGGCAGGCATTAATCCTCAATGAAAGGTGACACATTCCAGGCAGAACAAGGAGCATGTGTCACTACCCTGTGGTCAGCCCGCAAGTTTTCCATTCTAGAAGAATGTCAATCTGTGTGACTGGATTAACTAATTAATTCATCCGTCCATTCATTAAAGAAATATTCACTATGAGCCAGGTACTGCTCTAGGCATTGGGGTTGGCGTAAACAATAAAGAAAAAAAAATCAGCTCGGCTCTTGTCCTAGTTGTAGTAGCACAGTCTGTAGAATAACACTACATAATATTGGAGCCACATGGGAAGCCAAGTTCATATCCCTGGTTGACCTTTACAGGCTGAGTGTGGTCATGTACACCCATGATCCTGGCTGGCTAGGAGGCTGGCATGAGACCCTGCTGACGTTGCTGTCTGTCTCACTAAATAAAAAAAAATAATAAAAAAAACTTTAAAAATGCACAAGGTAAGTGTTTTATACATAAGTTCAATTTTGAAAAGTTGTAAGGAGAAAAATTAAACAGGGGAAAAAATAAAGGCCACTCATGCGAGGACACCAAATTTAGATAAGGTGACCAGGGAATACCCAAGAAAGTGATATTTGAGTAACAGTACAAAGGTGAAAGAGTAAACCATTTCAATACTAAAGAAAAAACATTCCAGTCAGAGAACCTGATGTGGGAGATTCTTGGCATGTTAAAGAGCAGCCAAGAGGCTAGTGTGAGGAAATGGGAGAGAATGTAACAGGTGGGTCAGACTAAGAGTGTGGGGACACAGATTGTGAAGGTCCTTGGAGGCTACTACGATATTGGATTTTTTTTTTTTTTGGAGAGATTTTCACTGTAGGGCGCGTGCGCTCGCCAGACAGACAGAGAGAGACATAGAGACAGAAAGCGAGAAATCTCCCCCCAGGGGGGATGGTCACGCCGCAATCCCTTCTCCTCCATTCTCCTCTCAGGACCTTGGGCACGCATGCACCCGCGCCCGGCGTGAGTTTTAAGCCACCGGGTCCGGGACACGAACCGCAGTCGACTACGTGGGAGTCCAGCGACATAGCCATTACGCTAACTGCTGGTTCCCAGATATTGGATTTTATTCTAAATGAAACAGAGAGCCATTGCAAGTTTTTAAGCAGAACAGTAACATGATATGAAGTTTGTTTTAAAGAAATCATTAGTTCCTGATTTAAGCATAGACTAAAAGGGGCAAAGTCAGAAACAGTGAGAACAGTTGGGAGGCTATTTCACTAACCCAGGTAAATGAAAATGGGTTCCAATAGGGTAGAGGCAGACAGAACCAAAAGGAAAAGATCAACATTGTATTCACTGAGATAACCAAGGCATAATTGAGCAAAATTTGGGGTACAGAGCAAGAAAGCTGAGGAAGACTCCATTCAAGGCAGGCATAGACTACAAATGCATACTCCTGAAGACCCTCAGACAAATGAATGTAGTCCTATTCCCATCTCTAAGATAACCATTAGCTGTTTTAGAGCACAGAAGCTCAACTCTGCATAAAAATAGCATCTGCCTCACTCCACGGATGTACCCTCAGGACTGAAGAATCAGGCTTAAAAAATATTGTTAACTAAGACTTTTAAGTGTATTTAGGGATATGGGTGTGCACTTATCACTCACCAAGCACTTTCTAGATGCTACACAATTTGTTTAAGTCATATTTCATTCTTACAACAATACCAAAGATAAGTATTATACTTATTTGTTTGTTTGGTTGTTTGTTTGTTTTTTAAGTATTATACTCTATTTTATATAGAAAGATACCAGTTTCAGAGAGGTTTTGTGATTCAACTGATAATAGAGTTCTATCATGTATTTCTGTTATGTATCAGAGGTAGGCCTACCTGATTCCAAAAATGATTTTCCTTTACCATATATCAGACCAACCATTTTAACAAAAGGTTAATTTTCTACATTAGTATTTAATATAAATGATACCATAAATCTTTTCCTAGTTAAAAAGAAAACTCTGCAGAATTTAAGTGTTTTTTAATGTTTGCATTATGTATATAGGAAATAATGATCACTTAAAGGCATAATTACATTTCCTCTCTCACCATCACTACCAATTCTATATTATGAAAACAATTAGCTTAATATTAATTATAATTATTATGTAATACATATTTAACTACTTTGCCACTTTTTTTTTGAGAGGTTTGTTACAGGGTGCATGCACTCGCCAGAAAGACAGAGACAGAGAGATAGAGAGAAATCACACACCCCCCATGGGAAATGGCCACACCGCAATCCCTTCTCCTCCATTCTCCCCTCAGGATCTTGGGCGCGCACGCACACACACCCAGCATGAGTTTAAGCCACCAGGTCCAGGACTTGAACCGTGGTCGGCTAGATGGCAGTTCAGTGATATAGCCATTATGCTAACTGTTGGTCCCTACTTTGCCACCTTAATTATGTAGTTACAAAAATTGGGACCAGCAAATGGCATAATGGTAACATCGCTGAACTCCCACGTAGTCGACCACAGTTCGAGTCCTGAATCTGGTGGCTTAAAACTCATGCCAGGGGTAAGTATGTGCATGCCCAAAATCCTAAGAGGAGAGTGAAGGAGAAGGGGTTGTGGCATGGCCATCCCCCATTGAGGGATGATTTCTCACTTTCCATCTCTCTATCTCTCTGGCAATTGCACAAGTCCTATAACAAAAATCTCTCTAAAGAAAAAAGAAGAAGGAAAAAAATTACATAGTTATAAAAAGTTGTTATCAGCTTGCCATAAAAAGCCTTCAAACACAAAGATACTGGTAGGGCTGAAAAAAATATATTGATTTACCTTCACTTGTAACATAGGTTGAAATTCCCTCACAAGCTTCATTGAAGAGTCATATATGGAATTTCCAATTTTTACTGTCTCCAAAAGTGGTACAGGACGAAAATCAGTATGGTAGAGTTCAGCATTCAACCAAGAAGCAATAAGGTCCAAATTAGGAAGTGTAGCACTCATGCCAACAATCTGCACACCATTAAACAGAGGACTGACTAAATCTGCCTGGCTAAGAAAAACAAATAAAAATGATGTTAGAAGATACATGGTACTGGGACCAGCAGATGGCATCATGGTTACATTGCTGGACTCCCACATAGCCGGCTGCAGTTCAAGTCCCAGACCCATGCGGGCACATGTGCATGCATACCCAAGATCCTGAGAGGAGACTAGAGAAGGGATTGTGGTGTGGCCATCCCCCTGGGGGGGAGAGAGGGTTCTCCCTTTCTGTCTCTCTGTCTCTCCAGAGAGCACATGCACCCTATAGCAAAAATCTTTCTCTAAAGAAAAAAAAAAAAAAAAGAACATACATTGGCCAGAGAGTGATGCAGCAATAGAATGCCACACTCTGCAAGGCAATCCCACACAAGTATGCTCACCAGAGAAAGAGAGACAGAGAGAGCAAAGATAAAGCACCTCCTTAAGACATGGTCATGCCACAATCCCTTCTCCTCCATTTCTCCATCCTATTGGGATTTGGGGTATGCAGGCACTTGTGCCTAGCATGCTTTTCAAGCCACTGGAGCTGGGACAGGAACAGCGGTGGGCCATGTAAGATATGACACTCTTAGCCACTAAGTTATGGGGCCAACCCTGGGTAATATATTTTATAAACACCTCATGTATAACTGAAAAGAAGATGTACCTTGCTAGCTTTTGGTAACTATTCTATATATATAGATTATGTCAAATTTGGTAACTGTATTGGTCATATATTTTATATTTCTAATGATTTGGGGCATATCAGGTTGTTGGAAAAGTCATGACACATTTTTGCATAGAAAAGACAAGAGTCAGAAATGAAAAGAGCCCAATACCAAGGTATATTAGTATGAAATTTCCCAATACTGAGGGGAAGGAGGTGCTCCTAAAGGCTTCAGAGAGAATTAAAATAAAAAAAAAAAATAGGGGCCAGCATGTGGCATAAAGGTTAAAGCCCTAGATTCTCACATGGCCTACTGAGATTCAAGTCCTAAGCCTGGCAGCTTCAAACTCTTGCCAGGCACCTGTGCAGGCATGCCCAAAATCCCAAGAGGGAAAAGGAGGAGAAGGCACTGTGGTGCAGTGATCTCCCCAGAGAGTGATTTCTCGCTTTCTCTCTCTCTGACTCTCCAGCTAGTGCACATGCCCTATAGCAAAAATATCTCTAAAAGTAAAAAATTATTTATTATACAAAGGATGAAGAATCAGCGTGACATCAAGCTTCTCAACAGCAATGAGAAAAATGAAGTAATGCCTTGGTAACTCAAAAGGAAAAGCATTTCCAATCTTGGCTTTTATATTCCTAAATAGTCTATTAAACAATTAGAAGCATTTCAGACAGGCAAGTTCTCAAAAAGTTAATATCCAGAAAAACATGTCTACTGAAATGAAGTAAAACTTCCTGGAAAATATACCCATGAAAATTAGGAAGTAAATCAAGAGGAAGACATAACCAAAAAAGGGGGGCTCTGACTCTAAAAAAGGGGCAACAGAAGTAAATAACAATGATAAACAGAGAAACCAAAATGACTGCTGTATGGCATACATATACAGATTAATCATCTATCCAGATCCGACAGCTTTTTTTTTTTTTTTGAGAGGTTTTTCACTATAGGGCGCGTGCGCTCGCCAGACAGACAGAGAGAGACAGAGAGACAGAAAGCGAGAAATCACCCCCCAGGGGGGATGGTCACACCACAATCCCTTCTCCTCCATTTTCCTCTCGGGATCTTGGGCACACATGCACATGCGCCTGGAGTGAGTTTTAAGCCACCGGGTCCGGGACGTGAACTGCAGTCGACTACATGGGAGTCCAGCGACATAGCCACTACGCTAACTGCTGGTTCCCCAGATCCGACAGCTTTAGGAGAAGCTTCCTCAAGATGAATTTGATAAAAGAGCAAATATGCTGGGTGTTTTGGGTGGAGATTACACAACTTGGAGAAAAAACTAGGGATAAATCAGCTTAACTATGTAAAATATCAAGCCATAAAACAAAAAAACAAAAAGACACTATTAATTCCAAAGAAAACAAGAAGTTTTTAATTTATTTATTTATTTATTTATTTATTTGGAGAGATTTTCACTGTAGGGTGCGTGCGCTTGCCAGACAGACAGAGACATAGAGACAGAAAGTGAGAAATCACCTCCCAGAGGGGATGGTCACGCCGCAATCCCTTCTCCTCCATTCTCCTCTCGGGATCTTGGGCACGCACGCACACGCGCCCGGCGTGAGTTCTAAGCCACCGGGTCTGGGACATGAACCGCGGTTGACTACGTGGGAGTCCAGCAACATAGCCATTACGCTAACTGCTGGTTCCCTTAATTTATTTTTTAAGAGAGATTTTTGCTATAGGGTGTGTGCACTTGCTGGAGAGATAGAAAGTGAAAAATCACCCCCCACGGAGATGGCCATGTTGCAATCCCTTCTCCTCCATTCTCCTCTCAGGATCTTGGGCACACACATGCACACACCCAGCATGACTCTTAAGCTGCCAGATCCAAGACTTGAACTACAGTCAACTGCATAGGAGTCCAGCGACATAGCCATTACATCATCTGCTGGTCCCAACAAGAAGTTACTTTAAATAGTAAAAGTAATCATAGTATACTCAGCTCAGTTGACAATGATATTTCAACAGTCATAATAGTATAATATTGAATGATGATTAAAGCAAAATTCTAACTATATTTAGAGAATGGGAAGATAATGAGAGGAAAAAGAGAGACTGTATAGGATAAGGGAGGAGATGGAACAGTGGTGAGTAGAGAATATATGACAGAACTAGAGCTTAACTTTCACAGTAGGAAGTCAATACGTAATGTCTAAACCAAAAATCCAGGTAGCTATATTTAGAGATAGCACTGTAAATATCTTTTAAAAGCTCAAAGACTTGAAAGGATGCCTATGAAGAATGAAGAAACACTATTTTTTGAAATTAGCTTTTACTACTTAAATTGTCTGTGTGTATAGTTGATAAATACATAAGTAGATGCTTTAAAATTGGTCATAAGGGGCCAGGAGGTGGTATGGTGGTTAAGCCACTGGACTCTCATAGGGCTGACTGAGGCTTCTAGTCACTGACTTCATGACTTGAAAATCACACCAGGTGTGTATGTGTGCATGCTCAAAACCCCAGGAGGAGAATGGAGAAGAAGCGATTGCAGCATGGCCATTTCCCCTGGGGAATGATTTCTCGCTTTCCTTCTCACTGTCTCTGTCTCTCCTCTCTCCAGTGAGTATATATACCCTATGAAAAAAACATTTTTTAAATTTAATTTTAAAATAAATAAATAAAATTGGTCATATAGTGTGTCCATCCAAAGTGACGAGCAGTCAGAAAATTAAGAATATTGGGAACCAGCAGTTAGCGTAATGGCTATGTCACTGGACTCCCACGTAGTCAACCGTGGTTCACGTCATGGACCCAGTGGCTTAAAACTCACGCCGGGCGCGTGTGTGTGTGTGCCCAAGATCCCAAGAGGAGAATGGAGGAGAAGGGATTGCGGCGTGACCATCCCCCCTGGGGGGTGATTTCTCGCTTTCTGTCTCTATGTCTCTCTCTGTCTGTCTGGCGAGCACACGCACCCTATAGCAAAAACCTCTCCAAAAAACAAAAGAAAGAAAATTAAGAATATTTAGAAAGCACACTGAAATCAACTGCAGTCTGAAGTACTTCAAAAAGCAAACCACTGTGTATAAATTTCTTCTAACTAAGAAAAATTCAGGCTGGCTCACAGCCTGATTGGTTAAGAGGTCCAGATCCCACATGGCTGACTGCAGTTTGAATCCTGGACCCAGCAGTTGGAAAAACATGCCAAGTGGGTGTGCATGTGTGCCCAAACTCCTGACAGGAGGAGAAAGGATGGCAGTGTGACCATGCCCTATGAGAAGGTGCTTTCTCCCTTTTCTTCTCCCTCTCTTTTCTGGCAAGCACATTCCCTCTGGTAATTTAAATAAGCAAATAAACAAAGTTCTATATCCTTCTTTATTTAACTTGTACTTATTATAAACTTTTGCAGACACTTCCTCAACAGCATTTAGAATCTCAGGAACTCAATTATTTCAAGTACTCACCAAGAGGCTGATTTCTGAGTAATATAACAAATCTTTGTCAGCAAAAGTTCCAGTAGATACCCTCGATGAGAGTCTCCCAACATATGTAATTCATCTACAACCACCATTCCTGAAAAGATTTTCCAGATAATAGAATCTTACAATTCCAAGACAATATTCTATGAAATTTATTTTATATATATTATATGAATATCATTACAACATACAAAATGAATTTTCCCAACCAGAATACACTGAATGTTGGCCCAAAGTTATCACCAAGATGAATTTTAAAAGATTCAATTATCTTATGTCATATGGTAGGTAGCTGTCCTTACAATATTTTGCAAGTGATGTAAATTTCAAACTATAAAACAAAAATCAGATTCTACATAATAGACAATTGCTTACTCAGATATTTCAGGAATCATAAGCAGTCATACTACACTGTATTCTAGACCTAAAGCTGAACAATTAGCTTACCAAACCCAGAGAAAGATGCTTATCTTTACTGAGATATTTCTAAATAGGCAACCTTATAGAAATAAAAGTATGATGAAAGGCATTTATCAGTTATTCAGTGTTTGCATTTTATATGGGAAGATAACCTTACTCATGTTAGAAAGTTACTTAGGGAAAAAAAGAGAGAGAGAGAGAGAGAATCAGGTTGAAAAGGAGATGATGATATTAAACTTTTTAAAAAAAATACAGTAAGCTAGTGAGTCAACCTACTGTAAAACATTAATATGATCATAATGCCCTTGTCCACTACTTGGAGAATTTAACCACCCTATGTACCTGAAATAATGCTCAAAGAATTACTGAAAATTTAGTATCAACCAACCTCTTTTTTATTTTTTTAATTTGACTAGAGACAGAGAGAGAGAGAGAAAGCAAAAATGTAAGCCACCAGGTCCAGGACTTAAACCTCAGTCAGCCATACGGGAGTCCAGCACCCCAACCACCATTTCACCTGCCTGCCCCTGCCAAAACTTTTTTAAAACATTTTTATAATTATGGGACCAGCAGTTAGCGCAATGGCTATGTCACTGGACTCCCATGTAGTCGACCGCGGTTCGAGTCCCAGACCCGGTGGCTTAAACTCACGCCAGACATGTGTGCATGCATGCCCAGGATCCTGAAAGGAGAATGGAGAAGAAGGGATTGTGGTATGGCCATCCCCCCTGGGGGTGATTTCTCACTTTCTGTCTCTCTGTCTCTTTCTGTCTTTCTGGCGAGCACACGCGCTCTATAGCAAAAAACTCTCAAAAAAATTTATAATTATAATATCATAGCTCCTACATGTACTGCCCCCCATGTGAATCTTCCCCACCAAAATCAATACCTTCAGACAACTGCATAATGACACATAATGCTCTTTTTCATTACCAGTAACCTATCTCCAAATCATACTGTAAGATGAGGTATTTCAGCATTTATTCATTCATCTGAAAAATATTTTCCTACCTACAGTGTGCCAGATGCAGGCCTAGGTATACTTAGTTAAGATTCTATTGCATTCCTCAAGACATTTAAAGTCCAATGGGATCACGAGTATTAAGAAAATTCTAATAAAGAAGCTGATTTCTCTTTCCAAGCTTTGTATATCAGAACCCAGACCTTGGGAACCAGCAGTTAAGCGTAATGGCTATGTCGCTGGATTCCCATGTAGTCGACCGCGGTTCGTGTCCTGGACCCGGTGGCTTAAAACTCACGCCGGGCGCGTGTGCGTGCGTGCCCAAGATCCCGAGAGGAGAATGGAGGAGAAGGGATTGCAGTGTGACCATCCCCCCTGGGGGGTGATTTCTCGCTTTCTGTCTCTATGTCTCTCTCTGTCTGGCGAGCGCACGCGCCCTACAGTGAAAATCTCTCCAAAAAAAATAAAAAAGAACCCAGACCTTCTTAGTCTTCCATTCCTACCTCCACCTCTACCCTACCACATCTTTACTATGGTAGTCTTAATTTCATCGATTTCACAATGGGTAGTTAGTATTTATTTTTGCTGCTTCCACTAATGTTATAATCATTCTATTCCTGTTGCTATGTCTACATAGTGGTCTTTCCTTAGTGGTAAAATATTCATTAAGGTAGAAAATCTTCCCATAGGCCCGAACTCAAGTAGCATATCAGTTTCTGTAGCTCTCGACCATTTCCCTGCTAAATGGCAACCTCTGGGTCCAGGTCAAGTGTAGACATCACAGCACTAGAATTATGATCATAAATATGCATACACACTAATTACAAAGTTGGCAGATCCAGCCCTAATGCACTTTTTTCTATTCCTGGTAAAGTTTAGACAGGAAAGAAATAATGAGAAATAAGTATAGGTTCAAGTATATCCTCTATAGTTTATAAAGTACAGAAATGCAAGGTAGTGGAGTCAATAACACAACAGAACACAAAACTTACATGCTTTTATACACAGATCTCTTAACACCACAGATACCAATTCTCCCCTCTAAAAGTGGACGACAGAATAGAAAAACATCATGGGACATTTTAAAAAGTCACAACGGCTCCATTCCATTCCGTCAAAATGGCAATAGAAAGTATTCGCATAATTTCAAATTATTCTTACCTAATAAATCCATCTTATTTTCCTCTATGAGGCGGTTGATGAGACCATTGGCTCTCTCAATCGTGCAGACAGCGATATCCAAGGAAGAGAAATGCCCAGTCGGAGAGGTACTGCCCACGTAACCATCCACTTTTATTCCCACTTCCTGAAACAGACTCTGAGTGGAGCAAGAAGGAACAGTTCACATGGGGAAAATGAAACTCATGAATTATAAATTGATTCTACCCCAGAATATAGACATAAATATCTAGACATTTCTCACTTTACACCTGCGGCTCCTGGCTAGGACCCACTAGTTCTTATAAGAAACAGACACTAAAAATACGAAGTTTAGAACTGATGGAACTCACAACAGAGTTTTCTGTTAAGTCAGCATTAAATGAAATGTTTAAGTATACCATTTTAATGACAGTATTTAGTAATCTAAGAAGTACTAAGGGTTATTTATAGAAATTAAAGTTGGAGAAAAATTACCTTAATCACTAACATTTTTGACCTAATGATAAGCAGCTAGCTATTTTTTACCACTAACATAACATTTTAAGAAACGAACTTACTACTTCATGAGGAAAATACCCTCATTATCCCACAATAAACTAGCTTTTTATGTAACGGAAGAAAAATATTTTAAAATCAAATTCAGTAGGACTTTGATATTAATTTTCTCTCTCTTTTTTAGTTTAACTTTTAGCTAACATACCTTCTCAATAAAAAGGATCCTTTCATCATTTTTGTTACTTTGGGTCTAAGTTGAGAGGATGTTACCATGTAGGAAGGACCAGCTTTGTTGACTATTTGGCCTCTGAAATACTGTTAAAAAGATTTATAGAACCGTAAAACTTTAGAGCTGTTCATTGAACAAAATCTTTCTGAGTGTTTACTGAGTCAACTAGAGGGCTACGGGTTGAAGCTCTCATGATACAAATGAAAAAACTGAGGCCCCACTGGTTAAGTGCCTGGCCTACAGACACAGTGGCAAAACTGAGACTAGACCCCACATATTTTCAGGCTATTACACAATGATCTTTCCATTCTAACATCACATATTTTCACTACAGAAATCACAGTAAATTTATTCTGTTAAACAAACACTGCACTTGAGAAAATGCTTTAAAAACAACTAAGTAGCATATCAATGTAAACTACCATCATTCGTATTTGCAGGAAAACAGAGGTTCAGAGGCAGCCCTGGAAGTCATTTAAGTACCAATGGACCTTGTCCTTCATCCCCTAATTGCTCCCAAATAGCCCTGAGTTAGGATAGGATACGCTTCCTCAC